GAAACCCTTCTAGTTACCGTTCACATCCCTTGCTAGCTGCAACTCCAATTGTGCTTTGGCCTTCCTGATTACACCCCGGCATGCTGGAGCAATACTTTTATACTCCTCTCTAGTCATCTGTCCAAGTTTCCACTTCTTGTCAGCTTCCTTTTTGTGTTTAAGCTCACTGAACATCTCACGTTGGTGAGAAGGGCTGTGGCCTGCAGTAACACTGCTAAACCTACATAATGAAAAAACAGAGTTGGGTCTAAAGAGGGACTTCTAATCCAGCAGCTAATGTAATGGGCTTAAAAATAGTCCAGGCATCATGTGGTTCAAAATCACCAACAGCAAACCCAAATAGAGCCTGATGATTGTAAGCTGGCAAATTAAATGCTGGCCTAGTAGCTTCAGGGATGCTCTGGAATCTGGGTTCTTTTTTGCCTGCCATTATCCTCCACTCGTTTTGGTCTAGCTGGGATCTCATAGGGTGCCTATCGTTGCAGTATCTGGGCTCCTGCCAAAATTATAAAAGGTGCTCAGAGTCATCTCTCGCAGCCCTCCAGTCACCAAGGATGGGACTTCATTATTTTGTACATGGGGAATTTTAAATGTATGTATTTACATTTTAAAAGAAGCCTCCCCCAGCACCGAATAACCCAATCAACCGTTTCCCTCTACCTTAGAATCATAGAAACATCAGGCTGGAATGGAGCTCAAGAGGTCTTCAAATCCAGCCCCTCTGCTGAGTCAGGACCAAGTGACCCTAGATCATCCCTGACAGATGTTTGTCCAACCTGTCCTTATAACCCTTCAATGATGGGAATTCCACAACCTCCTTTGCAAGCCTATTCCAGAGCTTAACTACTTAGCTAACTACTATAGTTAGAAAGTTTTTCCTAATATCTAACCTAAATCTCTCTTGCTGTAGCTTAAGCCCATTATGTCTTGTCCGACCTTCAGTGGACATAGAGAACAATTGATCACAGTCCTCTTTATAACCGCCTTAAACATATTTGAAGACTGTTATCAGGTCCCCCCCTCAGTCTTCTTTCCTCAACACTAAACATGCCCAATTTTTTAAACCTTTCCCCAGAGGTCAGGTTTTCTAAATCTTTGATCATTTTTGTTGCTCTCCTCTGGCCTCTTTCCAATTCCTCCACATCTTTCTGAAAGTGAGGTGCCCAGAACTGGACACAGTAAGCCAGCTGATCCCTCACCAGTGCTGAGCAGAGCATGACAATTACCTCCTGTATCTTACCTCCTGTGACACTCCTGTTAATACACGCCAGGACTATATTAGCTTCTTTAGCGACTGCATCACATTGTTGACTCATATTCAATGTGTGATCTGCTATAACCCCCAGATCCTTTTCTGCAGTCCTACTGCCTAGCCAGTTATTCCCCATTTTGCAGTTGTGAATTTGATTTTTCCTTCCTCAGCATAGAAGTTTGCACTTATCTTTATTGAATTTCATGATGTTCTTTTCAGACCAGTTCTCCAGTTTGTCAAGGTCATTTATTCCTGTCCCCTAAAGTGCTCACAACCTTATCCAGTTTGGTGGCATCATCCATATATTTTATAAGCATAATCTCCATGCTATTATCCAAGTTATTAATGAAAATATTGAATAGTACTGGACCCAGGCCTGATGCCTCCAGGACCCCTCTGGAACCTCCTAGTCTGAGAGTGAACCATTGATAGCTACTCTTTGAGTACAGTCTTTGTGCATCGACCTTGTAGTAATTTAATCTTCGAGTTTGTTGATTAGAATGTCATGTAGGACTGTGTCAAAAGTTTTCTTCTCCCTGACACCAATACTGCCTACAAAATAAAAATACACCATGCAAGGTGTTGCCAGCTGAGGGGTTTGGTGGCTGGTTTCAGCAGATGTGAGCAGAAAGTGGAATACACTTCAATTCCATAGTATGTAGATTCCTTCTTCTTTTACATTGCACCAAAAATCTGAAAGGTGTGTAAACAACCCAGGAGCAGGAGGGATTACTTAGAGTGGTATATGGAGGTATAGAGAGGAGTGAAATTAATCTGTGGAATAATTTTATTTGTAGTAGGTGGCATCTAGCTACCATACTTACATGACTCCCATTATGAACTGTCTGAGCATCTCATAACCTTTAATGTAGTTTTCCTCCCAACACCCCTGGGAGGTAGGACAGTGCTTCTAGGCCCATTTTACAGATATTGAACTGAGGCACAGTGAGACCAAGGCCCAGATCCTTAAAGGTACGTAGGTGCCTAACTCCCATGGGTGTTACGCACCTAAATACCTTTGAGGATCTAGGCCAAAATAACTTGCAAGAGGTCACCTAGAGAGCGTGTAGCACAGCAAGGAATTAAACCCACGTCTCCTAAATACTAAACACCCAAATCACTGGACCATCTTTCTCTGTTGTGTATGAGCAGCTCAGGTACAAATCTGAGATATTTGAAACTAGACTGGGGAAAATATAAAAAAAAAGATCATGTCTGGAACCTTCCTGTTTTGGCAGCCCGCGATATGCCAGATGACCTGACCCATCTCTAACGTCCAGCAGTCTATTATGCTTTCACTTCTGCTCCGGGAAGCCAGTGACATGCCAACACTCGGCATCCCAAGAGGGGGAGATTTCGTAGGCGAAGCTGTGGTGTGAGCCTATCAGTTGGGCTCATCCAGTATGTGCATTGCTCTCCATGTGCAGCATTCTATGTTCCTGGGGGAAACACGGAAGAGACACCCATTGAAACTCCCCCTTGGGAAGTGAAGGAGGGAGCTGTGACATGCAGAGCCTGAACAAGCAGGGAGAAGGCAGGCAAACTGTAGCACTTCACTCAAGCTACTTCCTCTGCCTTGGGGAGAAAAGAGGCTATTTATTAAAAGGACCAGGCCTAGTTCTCCTCTCCCACACATTGGTGTAAATCAGGAATAACTCATGTGATGTGTGCGGAGTGTAGTAGTTTAAGGGAGATCAGACTCAAGCCCCTTTATTCCAGCATGGTCAGGATAAAATGAATCCCAAGCACAGCCCAATATTTAATGCCATCCTACAGTTTTTTCTGCACATATTGTCCTGATTCTGCGATCCTTAGTTATATAGAACACCCCGTATTCATGGAAGCAGCCCCCCCATTCCCCCTGGGGTGGGGTGGGGGGGTGGGCTCTGAAGCCCATGGAACTATTGGTGTGCATAAGGGTGGCAAGATTGGCCTTTTTTGTTTTGTGAACAAACTCTTTCCATTCAGAGTGGATACCACTTTGATACTGGGGAACCCAGAAGTAGTGCACTCAAGTTTACTCACTTCTCTTTTGGGGAATATAGAGTTTAGTTAGGTTCATTTATCCATCTCTTTTTTTTACCACTACACCACTGGAATCCAGTAAGAGATGGCTTTCCTTGCCCAAGAGAGAGTGTGTGAACTGCCTCTTTAACTGAAACCTGCAGTCATATACTTCATCTCCTGTTTAATGATTCACCTCCCAACCAGCCCACTTGCACCTTTGTAATCTTTTTGAAGGTTAACTTGTTGATCCAGCCTTGGAAGCTTGCGAGAGGTAGCAGCTTCTCAGAGAAGTTTGGAAGCCAAAGTGGCACATTCTCTTTCAGAAGTCACTTTACTCGACGCTCAGGATCTGGGGAAACAGATGGGAGGCTTGGAAAGGGAATGAAAAAAGGGAGCGAAATTTAAACCAAAGAAAGGGGAGAAAAAGCACTTGGATTTTGCTTTTTACTCTTTGGAGACAGCTGGATTTTTAGTTCTGTTTTAGAGGAATAATTGGTTAAAAATAATCCTACAGGGAAATAATTTTTTTAGGACATATGGAGTTAAAATATGATTGATAACAATCTATGTAACCATGCCCTGGATTATAGGTTACTCAGTACAGCCCACAGATAGGGAAGAATGTATTTACCATATACTCGATGCAGATATATATCCCATGGAATTCTTCCTCATCACTGTCAGATCCAACTGACTATTGCTTGCTGCGGCTTTTATTTATTTTTTTAATTCTTTAAAACACAGAGAAGCCCCACTGGAATTATTCATCTCAAAATCATCTTAAATTACCCCAGCCATTTTACAGTCCATCATGAAAAAGGGGAGAGAATTCAATTTTTTACCAAGTACTTAAAAAAAAGCTCTTCCAAATAAAATAAAATAACATAAAATAAAATAAAATAAATCCCTCCCCACTTACTAGTATCCTGACAAATAATGTTGTGGCCCATTTACTGTATCTAAATATAGTTAATAATTCAGTCTACCTGGTATTATTTAATTCTGTATCTACTAATAGAATATTTGTAAAATACTTTGTAAATAGACAGATACAAATGAAGCTTTCCCAAATAAAGTTTGTTAGCACCATCCATCCTTTTAAAAAGGATACACAGAACTAAAGGATTCCAGGAGACATACAAATTATTGACATTTCCCCCTTTATTTATTGATATCTTCCAATTAATTAACTGAATTCTTGTTTAAGTATAGTCACAAACATTCCATGAACCAAAATTGTACTGATCACTCAAAGAACTGTATAGACAAAGCATTAAAATGTTATTTGAAGAAAGAAAATTAAATGCAGATAACATTAACCACATAGCTGTCTAACAAAACAATTAATAAAACAATAACTATCAAAATAGCTTAGAATAAGAATTAAGGGTCATATGCAAATCCATTGAACTCAGTGGGAGTCTTTCCATTTTTGGATCAGGCCCTTTGTCACTATAGGAAATATTGTTGGATAAACTTCTTAGTTCACAAAGTTCTTCTTATGAAATCAAAATGTTTTCCACAGCTGACTTTTATTACCTTGGATTTGGCTGGGCCTTCTAGGCACTATTGTAATAGAAATAGATAGTAATAATAAATAAGAATCTGTTTCAAAGACTGTCCTTGATCAATTTTTTTCAGGCAAACCAAACACTTATGTAACCGAGGCTTGAATCATCTCAGGGATTTTGTTTGTTTCTTTTGTTTTTAATCTCATTAGTTGATTGTTAAGAGAGGTGCCAAAAAAAAAAAAAAGCCATTTCTAGCACAGCTTAAAATACATGGTGAGTTTTAAATTTCCACAAGTCTCATGCTTAATATTTTCAAATGAGACAAATTCTAACAAGAAGCAGCAGGCAAAAAAGAAAAAATAGGGGTAAGGCATGGGGAAGGGAGTATGGAATGTATGGTTGTATTTGAAAATGTTATAGGTCAGTGGTACAAGGTCTTCGTAAATTTCCCTTACTACATGTGAATCACTTAATTTTGCTCTACTTAATCACCAACAAACTCAGCAGAAAAGGAAAAAAACAAACCAAGCCCCACAGACTTTGGTCTGTAATTGGTTAAAAATTGATTGGGGGCAGAGAGGAGGAAGGATAATTTTCTGTGATTGGCTGGATGCTCACTAGTACTTGGGTTTGAAATTTACCTTTTAAACCAAAGATCATGTATGTGTGGCATAGAATTGTGATGCCTACTTACACGGTGATGGGAACAATAGATACCCTTACATACATCCTGTGTAATTACTTTCCTGGCTGTAAGTATTTGCAGGGATAGATAGATAGATAGATAGAGAGAGAGAGAGAGAGAGAGAGAGAGAGAGAGAGAGAGAGAGGAAAAACTGCAAACATTCTACTCTTACACTTACCTGGGGAAAGTAATTTTTGACAGACAAGTTTCACAGTGAATCTCATAGTAATGACGGGAAAGTAGATCTGTCAATTATCAGGATAATTTCTCAATAATACATTAATGCCAAATTTACTGATAAAATATGATTATCCAGTTCTCCAAGTCTCATTATCTGAACTGTCCTGTTGTGTGACACTGGGCCAAGTGCCCTCACTGTCTTGGAATTACATTGACAATTGCCTTGATTATCCAATTGCCTTGGTATTCTAGATTTAGTCTCCAGAATATCTGAAAATTGAGGTTTTATTTAGAGAGAGATAGTGTGATAACATGTGTGAAACCAGTAACACAACTGTTGAGTGGTTTCTTTTTAGGTGGATGAGTGAATAATAACTTCTCCAGTTGAAAGTACAGGGAGGTTTTTAGGCAGATAGGCTGAAAATCTCTCTCCCTCCCCTTCTGCAGCCTGTGTCCCTTTGTTGCATGAAGGATGAAATAAACAAGACACTCCACTGTGGGCATGTGAATGGAAAAGTACCAGTGTAGTCCCCATGCACATTCTTGGACTGTGAGTGATCTGCAGCAGCCTTCATAGCTGGTTTAGTATGGTCCGGTGTACCGAGGGTGTGTACAAAAAGCCAGGCCCTACCATGCAAATCAAGTTTTTCCACTTCCAGTCCTTTCCCCAGAAGGAAGGATCCTGCCAGATCATGAATACTCCAATAAAAACACTATTTAACATAATAATATCTCCCTCCTACTCCCCTCTCCTGTAGTTTACAAACATTAGGGTGTTTCCCCCTGGTTGTTCCACAACTCCAGCTGCTGCCACCTCTGATACCAGTGCTGGGGGAAAAATTGTTCTAAGCATAAGGAACTGAAATCAACAAATGATCAGCAAGAGGGGCAGTTTGTTTAGCTCTTGGAGTTTATTTTAATTGCAGGATTGTTTTGTAATGAACACAGCAGTCGCAGGGCAAGTCTTCTGGGATCAGGCAGAGTATTCTGAGGGTTTTCCCTGTAAATAAAAACAAAGAGATCTATATTTAAAACAATAAACTAAAACAGAATGAGATGCAAGAACCTGGCGTGTTGGGCTGTTTGGTTTTGAACTTAAACCATGACACTTATTAAAGAGCTTTGCTGTTGTCACGGATACAGTGGCAGAAGTGTCCATCCTTTTGAAAGTGCTATGTTAATAAATCCAGAAAGCTCCTAGTCCAGATGCAAAGAAAAGGGGAAAACATGCATTTGTGCTGACGGGCAGCAAGCAAAAGCAAGCTGGTAATCTCGAGTAGTTTGTTATGATGATGCCAAAAAATTATGACTGTGTGATTTTATGCAAATCAAGGGAATGGACGGTTAAAAAACTAAATGTCAGGTAGATAAGATCGCATACACCTAGAGTAGTGTCATGATATTCTTTGAATGTTACATTCATACTGGAAACCAAAACATGTTACAGAAATCAGACACCCACAAAAGGGCTCACAGATTGCACTGAAGACAGGCTCCTGCAAAGCACCAACCTCGGACAGAAAAGTAGGTTAGATTAGAAAACAAGATAATGCAATTGAATCAGGGAATACACTGCTCAATGCAGTGTGCAATCCACCCTTATTTTATAAAATTACATGCACTAAACTGCCTTTAAATAATGTTTATGTTATGACACAAAGCTGATAAAAAGGGCTGGATTTCCACAGCTCAGCTGACAATCCGACTGTAACTGCCATAGGAAAAGTGTCAAAGACGGAGTGTCCTTTCTTAAGGGTCACGTTTCTGCCTCTGGCACTTTTTTTTAAAGACCTGGTGGTTCTGTGTATACAGTATTTGGGTAAGTAGGATTTATTTCCTGAAGGGGCTAATTTTAAAAAAAATGAAAATAATTTTAAATTGAGATTTATTTAAAAATATATATATTTATCAAAAGATCAGGCCCACCCCTTTAAATGTGTTGCTTACCTGACAACATGAAATACTTGCATATAAAAACGTATTCTGTATCCCTGTAGGACTGACTAATTCTGTATTCAGGGCCATCTACCATCCTTGATCAATATATCCTATGGCCTTAAATCTAGAATTGTAATTGTAGAGGGGTAAGTATTATTATTAATAATAATTTACATTTATGTGGTGCTTTTCATCCAGAAGTAGTTTAGACAGGGAAAACAACCAAGCCACCTGTGACATGCCTCTCAGGTGGCTAGTAACTCAGCAGTTTTGCAGGAGGGGAAAGTGAAGAATAAACTTTTCCCAACCATAGGAGGATTTTTAAGTCAGCAGAATTACCTCCATTGCCATTTTGACTAGAATACTAGGGTTAATACAATAAATTATAGCCTGTGTCAGAAGCAGTGGTATCAATCTGATGGGTGACCATGTCTTCATCACTGGTTTGAAACCTAGGTATGACTGATCTGACACACTGCAAAAGGAGCTGTCCTGGTCCTTCATGCAAATCTAATGTTTACTATTGTATTGACGTGGAATATGGACAAACCATGTAGGTCGATATAGTGAGGACTGCTCCTACAGTCCTTATATGTGTGTAAGGACCAAAAAGGAAATATGGGGGGAACGGAGGGTTGCATGCATCAGATCTGAAGCACTGGATCCAGATTATACAAGAAATTAAAGCATTTGCATAGCAGGTCAATGTTAACAACTTGGTTATTTACATGTTTTTATATCCACTCCACTCCCTGCCCACTTTCCTGTTAAATTCCCCCTTCAAGGGCCAGTTTCGTCTTAAAATGCAGACAGTTATTGAGCTAAAGGAATGTCATCATATAGTCAATATTAGTAAACTTCCTTGCCATTTTGCAAGATGTGACTACAAATCTGGCCTGGAATTCCGACCTCACTCCCAGGCCCAGCAGGGGCTAGATGTGCTGTGAAGAAAGCAAATGACGGACTTGCTCTGCGGTGACCCCTCTGGCCAATGTAGGAGTGGCACGCATGGGATTTGAAGGGTATTCTATGTAGCCTTCCCTATGCTGGATATTGCATTCCCTACGCATTCAAAACTCCCATTTCAGAGTATGGGGAAGAAACTTCAAGGAAAGTTAATGGGGGGGTTAGGTGCCCAAGGAATGCATGTTCAAGGTACTGGGTGGGGGTGAAGGGAAACCACGAGAAGGCAAGGGCGAAATGGAGAGGAGGGAGAGAATATGGGACTCCCAGGAAAAATTAATAAAATCTATTATTTGCTTCCAGGCTGAGAACCTAGATACCAAGTTCCCAGCCCAAAGGGAATGCTCATAGCTGATTGATAACTCCTTGTAAACAGGGGGCTGATAATGGAAACTCTGATGCAACCCCACATTTGGCAGCATAAATGCATGACAAGAATTCAACTCTGTAAAATGCCAGTTGGAACAGCAATCATGATAAATCTTCAATCTTAGGATTTTTTTTAGCTCCTTCCTAACTTTCTGCAAACATTGCATTCAGCCAACTGATCAATACATGCAGAAGAAAAGATCAGACTGCAGAGCGGGACAAACAGAACAGAGATTTTCTTCATAAATTCCATCTCGTATGGAAACAAAAGCCTAGTTATTATCATCATTATATTATTTGTTATTAAGTCCATTTATATAGCACCATTTGTTTACACTGCTCTTTGCAAACACAGATAAACAAGATAAACACATCTTCCCTGTCCCTGAGATCTTACAATCTAAGTAAAGCTATGCTTGTTCGCGTTGAATTATATATTACTTTTTAACTACAGGGAAGACGTCTTTAAAGCATGTCTGTATCATCTCAAGTGTCTGAGTATGAGACCTGACTTGCTACTGGGCTATTTTAAAGAATAGATGGAGTATTAGTCGTAAAGCTCTCCTTCTTTTTTCTACTTTAAAGCAGATCTGAGCATTTCAGTTCAGGGACTTTGCTGCAAATAAAAAATGCAGCATAGAATGTACAATAATATCTTTGTATTAGGGTTGCAGCCTTTGTGGAATTCATTTGTAATTTAATAAGTTGCTCTAAGCAATTGCATTAGCTGGAGCTAGGGCACAGTGACCCTGTGATGGTTTTTCTTGTGAACAAATTTCTATTAATCGTTATAAACATGAAATACCATCATTCAGACACACACACCCACACGGCCGTCCACCCCTTCCTTCTCTGTTATGTGGAAGTAGCCACCAGAAATACTGGATCCTTTTACCCCAAAATGATCAGGGAAAAAAATAAATAATTGCAATAGAAATCAGCTGACATGTACACACTCAGACCAGGCCTGAGTGGATTCACAGTGAAAATAAAGATGCAATGCATTTGCTTATATATATATATGGCTAAAGGGTCCACATAATAATATGTTTACAATCTGCCCCTGCCCCCTCCGCACTACCCACCACACACACCAGTAACTCTATCAGTAACACAGATTGGAAGGTCTTTACATTTTCACTGCTGGCTGAAGTCTCCTCCAATGGCAAAGGCAGAAGGCAGGGCAGGCCTTTACAGTTCCCTCCCGAAACAGTCTACAGCTGCTTTAAAAAACCAAAAGTAATAAAAAAAATTCCACACTACCGTAGCTTGACATTTCCCTCCACCCAGAGGAAGCTATCTATTGACACACTGTTTACAATCTATTTTGCACGAATCAGCAACAATGACAACAACTGCGAAGAGTCCTGGAAAGGGAAGGAGGGGAAAAAGAAAAGGACCAAACGAAAACATAACCCTCCGAGTCTATTTCTTTTCAAGAACAAGGATATTCCTCACATGAAAAAAAGCAATGCCAAAACCATAATTAAAACACAGATCTGTCTGGGGGGGATGGGGGGAAGAAGCTTCTTTCGTCGAAAGTAAATCCCTTGCACGATCGTGAGAGCCAAAAAGAGGTGGATGGAACATTAAAAAAAAATAAAAAAAAGACGGATTATTTTTCAAAAAGCGTCCAAGGCAGCAGGATCCCGGGATCTTTTTAACAGGAGAAACTTGCTCAAGCAGATGCAAAAAATAACGTTAAACGGTTCTGTGTCTCGCCTCCCTACGGACTGCCTGAGATTTTGTCTGCCTCCTCCTCCTGCTTTTTTAATTAGGGTTTCCCCCCCCCCTCCTGCGTTATGAAAACCTCCCCCCAACACCCTCTCCCAGGTCCCTACATTGTAACGCATTTTGCTGGGGGGGTGAGCAGAGCTGGGGGGGGGGGGGGGATCTGGTGTACTGCGAGGAGGCCGGCGGTGTTTGCGGGGCTTTCACGACCGAGAGCGGGGTGGCCTCAGCCCCGGATCTCTCTTATGTCACCGAATAGCAAATTAGTTCTCAGAATTCCAGGGGCCGAACGCTGCAACACTGAAGCCGCCCCGACGTCACAGAAGGCAGGCGGCCACGTGACTCCAGAGACCGGCGCCTACCACCGGCCGCGGGGGGAGCCCCCCCGGCCCCGGCCGCTGGCCCCCGCTGGCGGCGCCGCTGCCGGGTGGGGGCCCCCGGCCGGGAAGGCTCCGCGGGGTCCCGGCGGCGGGCGGCAGGGGGCGGGCGGGGCGGATCAGGGCGGAGCGAGCGGGGAGGCAGGGAGGGGTGGCATGTGGCCTCCCCTGGGCCGGGCGCAGTGGTAGAGTCGGCAGCTCAAATTCCGAGAATTGAGCTCTGTTGATTCTTAGAACTGGGGTTCTTAGAAGTGGTGATGCAAGGAGTTTCTAGGAAAGCCCGGAGACCAGGTGATTGCTGCCGCCGCCGCCGCCGCTTCTAGCGCCGCCGCCGCCGCTCCTGCTTCTTTACCCTTTAAGGCTGGAGGTTGCCAGGCGCCTGCCCCTGGCTCCCAGGCGCCTCTCTCCCCGTCCCCGTCCCCGGGTCCCTCCTTCCCTCCCTGCCGCGCGTGGCAGGTGTTCGGGGCGCGGAGCCGGCCGGGGGGCTTGTGGGGGGGGGGGGGGGCTCGCGTGGTTTTATTTGGGGGGTGCGGGTGAGGTTGGTGTGTTTTGTTTGGGTTTTTTTTTTTTGTCCTTTTTTTTTCTTTCTGCGGGGCAGGGCCGAGGCGCCGCCGCGGAGCGAGCCCGGAGTGTTCGCCGGCGGGGAAGGGAGGGGTGCCCGGCGGAGATCGCCGGCTCCGGGGACGGGGGTGGGGGCTCTGCGCTGCCCCGCGGGGCTGCTTCCCTTCCCCGCTGACTCCTGCGCCGGGCCGGGCTGTCAGGAGGAGGATGTGGCGGCTCGCCCGGGGCCGGCTGCCCTCTCTCGGGCTGCCTCTCGCCCTGCCCCCGCGGACGGGGAGCGGAGTCTCTCCGCCTTCGCTGCTCCGCTCGCCTTTCTTGGCCGAGGCGCCCCTCGCCTGGCGCCCGGCCACCACCGGCCTCTCCGAGTCGATTAAGTGACAGCGGGCAGAGATTTGCCACAACAAATGTCCCCAGCAAAACTCGGCCGCTTTGCCCTGGCCCCGGAGCCCCGCTGCCTCCCCCTGCGGTCGCTTGGACACCCCGTTGGGCTTGAATTGTGTGTGTTCGCGGCCCGGCGATTTGCACGGTGGTTGTCTCTGCGTGGGAAACCTGTTTAGCATCCCCTGTCTTCTTTGCGGTTGGGGAAGAACCTTCCTCCCGGGGGGAGGGGGCTCTGCACCTGCAGCCGCATCTGGATGTGGGCTCTGGGATCTTCGCGGCGATGGGGCGGTGTGGACAGGACAGGGGAGGGAAGGTGGGAGCGAGATCGCTGGCCTGGGGGGGGGGGGTGTGGCAGTAAATGTTGTGGTGTTTTGGGTGCTGCGTGACTTAAGGTTGTCTCCTAATGGCTGCGTTGTTGTTGTGTGTTTTTGTTTTTCTCCTCCACGGTGCACAATCTCCGAGAGGGGAACCTGTACGGCTGATAAGGAAAGGCACATGCACCAGGGCTCAGACTAGACAGGGTGTTTGCACAGGGCAGGAGCGGCGGGGGACAAAAACGCTCCCGATTTTATTTCTAGACTGTGCTGGGGAGGCGTTGACAACGCAACTTGGTTGCGTGTGTGGTGTGTTTTTGTTTTTGTTTTTTCCCCCTCTCCCCAATCCAATGCAAATAGATGACTTTGCAAAAGGGCTCGCGAATTCCGCAACCTGTGGCTGTCTAGTCCTGCCAGCCCAAGCGGTAAAAAAAAAACCAGGATTGCTGGATAAGACTTGCGGGAGATTTTGAGGGGGATCCCAAAGTAATTGTGCGAAGTGACTGTTGCTTGGATCGACTAACTTTCTTACCTGTCTGAGCTGACAACGTCCACTCTTTGCTTTTTAAAAAAGTTTAAAAAAGCAGAGTAATTATTTAGGAAACATGCTTGTATTTCATAGAATAATGACCCCATCCTGGGTTTGGTTTGTGGGTTTTGTTTTGTTTTTTTGACAGAGAAATAAAAGTATTTTTGACCAAGACATAAGTGCTTTAAGGAGGCTTTAAAAAAATCTGGCTACTGATTTATTATATATATATAAATAATTTGGATTATCACCAGTTTGAGGGGGAAAGTCCGTCAAACCAGCGTTTACGAAATAATTCTGGGCTCAGAACTCAGGTGCAAAGGGAGCGAAATCTCCCAGGGCTCGTGTCCAAGAGGGCGAGCGTCCTACAGGAAACCCGTGTAATCTTTTAATGGATTTCCAATTAGTTTATGGTCTCCTTGAGTGCAGCTTATGTCCTCAAAACGCCCAAGACACGGCTGCTGCGGAATGTAAACACGAGCCGCGGATGGCTCCGGAGCAGGGTTGCTGGTTGCAGGGCCCGTGGAGACGGGCTGCCCTCTCTCTTCCCGGAGGGGGGGGGGGAGGGTTTAAAAAACAAAAAGAAATCAGTAGCCGGGGACAATCCCGCTTGTTCTCCGCGCCGTTTACTACCACGGCGCGCTTGGCGTGGAGACTGGCGGTCGTAAATCTGCTGTCCCAGCTGGCCCCTTTCCACACGCTATTCCTGGAGGTAGCACCAGCAAAGAGGAGCAGGCGGGTTTGTTTGAAAAGGGAAGGTGGGGTGGGGGAGGGATCAGAAATCTCAGAGCTTTGCAAGAGTGCACGCAACCCCCCCAACCCCCCGCTGCTCTCTCGAATACAAGGTGCAAAGTATCAAACTTTGGGGGGTGTGTGGGGGGGTGAATCTTTAGAAATCTCTCTAGTTCAGCCAGCCAGGGCTGAAATCCGATCCCTGTTGACACATGGAATCACGTCAAGGGGTTGCTGCTGAGGTTTGACAATTCTGATGAGAGAGGGGTGGTGAAAACCCGTCTGTATTTCTATAAGGAGACGCAGGGGGAGAAAGTCGACCAAACCCCAGTGCCCACAGAGCGAAGGGTTCATTTTCCTCACACCTAACCTTGTTAATTTCTTCAAGGGATTTTTTTTTTTTAATGGCAGGAGTGCCTTCTCCAGAGGAATGTATCCAAGACAAATTGCTTCTGCTTGGCAGGGAGGAATGGGGGGAAAGCTGGGGTCTGTGTGTGTGTTTTATTGGAGAGTTCCAGTTAGTTGTGTAAATGACAGATATGACTTGATGTCAAAATACTTTCCCCTCCCACCCCGGAGAAACTTTGTTGTGAAAACTTAGTGGTTTAGGTAGTCGCGTGTGGCGTAGCAGCGACCTCTCTCGGTTGTAAAGGGAATGGCCTTTTGGATGTGTCGGGGGTTTTGTTTATTGTCACAATATTTTGAAATATTGTGAAATAGCCTTGATGGCCGAGAAGGAGGAGTAGGGAAATAAAAACAACCTACCTTTTTTGGAAAATGTGTGGCTTCTCTTCCAGTCTTTGAATCTGACTTTTAAAAGGCATCCAACCCAAGATCTGGCTATGTTTATACACCAGGTAAATCTGATTTAAAAATAAAGTACCAAAAAAAAAAGAGAGAGAGAGAAGAAGCCTGTATCAGTGAGTTTTGCCATTGACTTCACTGGAAGCAGGGTCAGCACTAAACTGGCTTGGGAATGGAGGAGATCTACACTGATAAGCAGAAAAGGATCCTGCAGCCTCTAACTGGGGCAAAATTCTCATTGACTCCAGAAGATGTTTTACTGTCATCAAGCACCATCTTGCTGCTTGTCCTGAGGTTTTAAAATTTAATGATTATTCACAATATTGTATTAAAGGCTTATGGGATAAGTGCTTTCAGAATAAATACAGACTTCCTTCCAGCAAGCCTTAAGGGCTTGTTTTACAGCTAGGAAATCTCTTCAAAAATATTTTAAGGCAAAACTTTTTCTCATAGGGCAAGAACTCCAGTTTGCATTACAACTGTGTGTTTTAACCAGCAATCCAGTCTCTTTAAAAAAAAAAACCCCCTCAAATTTTCTTTGTCAAGTAATCAGTGATTTAAAATATTCAAAGGCTGTGTAAGGATCTTCCAGAAGAATGGATTCTTTCATTGTTCCAGGAAGAATAGTCTTCATTTGTAGGGAAATGCTCAATGTTGAGGGGGCAAAATAGATCAAAGATCTCTTGGGATATGTTTCAAATCAAGTCGCTCCCACCCACCCCTGTTTTGACTGTCTGAGTCAATAATCAGAGAAGAAATGGTATTTCACTGGTTATTTATTATTCTAAAGAGACAGAACTCTGAATGAGAGTTGATTCTCAAAGAGAACACCAAAAGCAAGTCAAAGGCGTGTTTTCTTCTTTTTTTTTTTTTTAATTGCTAGTGTTCCCAGCTAGCCTAAATGCTGGATAGTGAGGACTGAAGACTTCTGTCTGAGTCTAAAATAAGCCTAGCAGAAACATTAAGTTGTGAAAAGCAAGGATGGAAAAGCTTGTAAAAAAAAATAATAATGTTGCTCAGACGTGTGTTTAAGAGGAACAGAATTACATCGACAAAATTATATGTTTTCCAGCCTCAGCTGTGGCGTTTTATTTTCCAAGGGAAATAGATCTCTACGACAAAGCTAAAGGGTGCCATCTAGTGGTGTGTTCTTAAAATTCCTTTTGGTGACTGGTTGCAACTAATCTTTCAAGCTTGGGAAATTAAAAACATGTTGTATGCAGTACTTTAAAAAAAATTCCTAGCTCGCTAAAAGTCAGCAATGAAGAATACAGAGACCCATCTAGGGCCACAGAAATTGACTAGCCTAGCTGAAAACAATCAAGTACATATTAAAATGTTATTGATACTTACATATGGAGCTCTGTCTGAATGTTTTCATGAAATCGCATGTAAAATATTTCCTGCCTGTGGTGTTCCTCTACTGTTCCTGAATCATTGTCTAATATAGGTTGTCTTGTGTTGCAGAATTATGCATTCATTTAAAAAAGGTTTCAGTCACCCTACATGGCAGCAACCTACTAGTTTATAAGAAAGTCTTAAGAAATAGACTATATTATCAACATGTTATCCAAATACCAATGTAAATGCAGGTGGCAAAACTTAATTGAGATAATGCCAAGTTTTTTAAAAAAAATCTGATTTCAAGCAACATTTTCTTAATGTGCTATAAGGACTTTAGAGGAGCAAGATAAAATAATTTAAATAGCCAAGTTACATTTATCCTCTTGGACAAAAAAGATCAAGGTAACATCTGTTTCAGCTCCTAGTGCTGCAACATTTTGGATGCAAACACTG